GCCAGCGAGACAGATAGAGATCTGCAGCAGGAGCGCCTCGGCAGCCGTCAACCGTCAAACTTCAACACACAAACAAAACGGCAGAAAGTTTTCCACTGAGGTGTAAACCTTCCTATGGCTAAACTTGTTCTGTTAGTTTCTAACAGCTAGGTCACGTCCTGTAAATATTAGAATAGTCCGAAAATGTATATTGCATGGACATTCAATATTCTGCAACCTAAGCCAGAGGAACTGACGTGCTGTCTGCCGAGATACTTAACTTGCTAGAAAACCTTATCTAACATCACCACTGTAGACTGTTTCAGGAGAACAGCCTTCTACTGCTCTTGAAATCACTTTACCCGGTACAATCCACAGGTGACTGAATGCATTGCCACTGTAGCGGAAACTGCTTACGTCTCGACAAAACAACACTTTCGGGACTGGGCAGAGAACAGCAGACTTGGGAATGTCGGGGCTCCGGGGCCTGCAAGGCGTATCGGACACCAGGGACCTGCTGAAGTCTGAGCAGACCAGAACCGCGGGCCCTGAAGGCCTCACACACCTCATCGCTCCTGAACACACAGACTGGAATCTGTAAGGTATGGCAACCATCTTGGAGAAGGGCAAGACTGAAGTCAAGTCTAACAATCATTCGGATAATCATTCCTAAATGACCGCTGGTAGCAGCGGTGCTACTCTCCTTGTCCAATCCGCTGGGGAGTCGCAAACAGGCTTTGAACATGGCGACGAGGGAGCTGACAGCACCTCAAGAAAGACGGAGTGCACCGACATCGCATCCCTGTGTACAGTGCTGAACAGAACGGCTTGCTCTCATGCCCTTGGCTGTCCTGTAAAGGGCGCGCAACTCTGTGATGCCTTCCCAGCGCACAGCCTACAGCCACTGCTTCATCCCTGCCCTGCTGCTGGCCGGGTGACATCACCGGTACGAGCCCAGCCGGGGCGGAGCCGCCGCCACCACCCCCCCCTCCTCAGCTCTGCACTGGACTGGCCCGAGCACCCTCCTGCTGCTCCAGAGACTCCCTCCGTGCCCCCTCGGCCGAGTCTGAGCCCGGGGCTTCTGTTGCAGAGGCTGAAGGCCCAGAGAGGGAACCCTTCCTGCTCAGCATTGTCCGGCAGTGTGATCACACCAGCACCATACTCGCGCCTCTGTGTGAACACAATGGGGGTCTGAGGTTACAGCCGTGCTGCCCGCCAGCACTGCTCGACCTGATGAGCCCCGCTTGCTCATTTGATCTACAGAGCATTAGTTCATTACGAATGTCACTGCCAAAGCGATGCTCTTTCAGAAGGAACAGGGGAGGGGGGGCAGAGGCCTACACAATCACGTCATTGAAACCATTCTGCACAGCGGCTTTCCAGCAGGCAGCCACTGTCCCGGAGTGTCTCCGACGTCGGCATTAGTAAGGGAAGAGCCCAGGTCCTGACGTGCGCCCCCAGCAGGGCCGGCCACGTGATGACACCCATCGAGCACGCATTTAGGGTAAAGAAAAGGCTTCGTCCCCCCATTCCCGGACCGCCCCTGCTCCGATCCCTCTGGACCCGCCTGTGGTGGGGAGAGCCGCGCCCTGTGCTCGCTGTTCCGACGACACAGCCTCCTGTCCGCATTTCCCTCGCTACCCTGGCTTGCCCTCGGAGTTTCTGCTACGTGTTGCATTTGTGCGGAGCAACACACGGAGTCTCATTAGAGCCTGAAAATGACCACTGCCTGACAGCGGGCCTGATAATGCACGCTTTAAACGGTGAAAGGAGTACAAAGGGAGAGAAGCATGACAATAAAGAAGAAAGGCTGCCCTTTTCTGGGCTGAAATAAAACCAGGTTAATCTGACACTTCAGACTCCTTATCACAACGGCTAATACCTCCAGTCCCAGGCTGTAGTTCCCTAAAGAAAGGAAAGAGAAATTATCTGCCCTGCTCTCTTCTCAGTGAGAGCTTCTACTGCTGTCAAGCCTGGCAGAATATAATGTGCTTCCTCAGAACAGAGCGGCTGTGGGTTTTTTTTTCTTTTTCGGCTCCTAGGGTTTATCTGTTGTGTAATGGCTCATTAGAAGCAAAGAAACGTTTCTGTAATTCTGGCCTGGCGCTCTGCCTGTGAAAGCGAGAGAGGGAGAGAGGCAATGATGGAGCCCTGGTACGTCTATTAGACCGGAGCACGGTTCCAATAGATGAGAAAATGCAGCTTTATCTGATGACCCGGGGGAGAAGCACCACTCTCTAATGGCTTCATAATTGCTACTGCTAGTCCAAGCTCTGTTTCCCCTACGAGAGTCTCCAGTCAGCGAAGAGGCCATTCAGACCTTGTAGTTTGCAGCCAATTGATTCCAGGATCTCTAGAAAGAAGCCAGGGCACCTAAACAACATGCCTGGGTGACCTGTTCCGTACTCCCACTGCTCTTTCTATGAAGATCCTCCTACTCTCAGCCCTAAGTGTGCTCCTCCTGGCTTCCATCAGCACTCCGCGGGCCCTGACGCCGGACGGGCAGGTCAGTGTGGCTGCCCCCTCGCTGCTGACCCTGACCGCCGACACACACACAGCGGGGGAGGAAGAGACCCCTCCCAAAAAACACGGCCAACAGCAGCCGGCCACAAACCACGAGCGCCGAGAGAGCTGGCCTGCAGCTTTCTGCTTGATGCAGGGATTGCTGGCGAGATACAGACATTGAGGCGCGCAGCGGCTCGTCTCCTCTACCCGCGCGCCGCCCGCTGTGGGCGCGTTGACGGCCGTGCGCCAGGAAACCCAGAGGGGACGGGGAGATTCTGTAGGTTGCACGACGGCGCGAGGGGCGAGACAGCAGCCCGGAGGAAAACCCACCAGGACCCTCACTGGCGGCCGCCTGGCAGCTCGCTACGCTGTACAGCCTGTACCAGCTGACCAGCGCTCATGGCCTCCCTTGACCGCAGCGCTGGCAGAGCCAGAATCCCGGCTGGGTGAGATCTGCCAAACCACTTTCTTGTGCGCGGCATCGCCACCAGGAAGCAGACCTTCCCTCGGGCTCAGCCTGCTGCACTCCTGCGGCCTCGGGCCTCACGAGCGGTTTCCTGCATTCCTGTGGTCCATCCCAGGCGCGTGGACATCATTTCTGCGGGCTGGTTTTCGAGGTCTGGATAAAATTACACAAGGGGGCAAAAAAAAAAACCCAGCCGCTTTCTCGCGAGCCGCAGAGCTGCGTGGTCTCGTCCGCCCGAGCCAGTCCTCATGTCCCCACCCCTCCCTGCTCGCTCACTCCCACAGCCCCCCCTGCCCCCGGTGACCACCCACCCCAGAGATTTTAACTGGTAGAGCTTTCCAGCCCATTACACAAATTCCAGTTGTGCCGTTTTGGGAAGCGGAACAGGCGGCGCAGCGCTGTACCAGCAGGTTCAGCACCAGCTGGGGGAGAGGCGCGTCACAGCCTGGGAGCTCCGCATGCCTGCAGGAGCCTGGGAGCCCACAGGGGGCGCCGTCTCCCAGCCCAGGCCACCCTCCCCAAAACGAAGCAGCCTTCAGGGAAAAATCAGTACCAATCCCTCTGTGGGCATCCCTGGCATTGAGTGACTGGAACACAGGGCGCGGACTCTGCTACAGTTTAAAAGCACTGGCTGTAGTTTTCGATTTGAAAAGAAGGTAGGACAAAAACAGGAAGAACTGAATCACAGCCCTGCTATTTTGCTGCCATTACACGGCGCGGAGGAATCTTCGCTGCTTTCAGAGGCTTTTAAAAAGCTGATTGACAGCGCTTGTGCGGATAGGTGGGCAATGTTAAATGCAGCCAGTGACGGACGCGCAGAACCCCACATCCTGGCTGCTGGGTGTGGGGGTGGTGCTGGCGGGGGGGGGTTGTGTGCTTGCAAATTCTCACCACTGCTGTGCTGAAGCTGTCAACATGATTTAATGTCTAATGGGCTTTGAGTTCTCCGATAACGCAGCAGGGCCACTGTTCTTGGAAACACATTTCCTGAAAAGCTACACCATCTTTTTAAAATACAGATATCCCCTTCCTGTCATCGCCAGATGGAGTCGGAGCGGACTTCTCCCAGTGCAGGCTTCCTTATAGAGAGGGACCGGCACTGCCCGCTGGTGACTCAGACAGCTGCCCTGAGCTATCCGGGGGGGGGGCACCTTGGAGAGGGGGCACCGGGGTGGTTGAGGGGTTATTCTACCTGCTGAGCTTAAAGAAAGCTGCACGAGGCCGATGAAGACCCCCCCAGCCCAGCCACAGCCTGATCTCCTCCACCCCCAGCTCCCCCCCTTCCATCTTAGACAGGGGAATGGCTTCGTCACGGTAGGGAATAATCAATCATCACCAGGCTGCCACTGCTAAAAATACCAGATCTCACGGACGAGA